GGGCTCATCTTTCTTCTTCTGAAAGTCGTACAAATTATGAAAATCGATCTTAGGAACAAACTATGACAAGTAATGAACTTTTACCTCGTTCAAATAGGAGTAGTCACAATTTTATCGCGTGGTACAAAAAAACCTGGATCAAATAAAATGTTCAAAATCTGAACAAGGCGGGTTCATGCAGAGACTCTCAATTGTGGTTAGCCACAAAAATAATGGAAAACGACTCAATGGAACTGTGACAAAAAAGGAAAATGTACGAGCTCAGAGAGTTTATAGTAAAGATAATGAGGTCCAAATAACATAATTAGTCCTTTAAGTCCGAAAATTCCTCACAGGTTTCGTGGCGCAAACAAGCTTAGTGATCATAAAATAATGACAGAATAATTTAATGTGCACGGTAAAAAATTTTCCAGCAGTATCCGCACCCTGAGAATTTTGGTAGCTGGAGCTGACGTTCGCGGTTCCGGCTGCTGAAATCCGGCGTATCCCGCCGAGGATTCGGCAGTTCTGCCGAATTTGTAAAAGTTCGTGGTAAAAAAATTTTAAAGCAACACATTAAAGATACGATCTCGTGTTTAAGAATTGCAAAACTTACCAGGAGTATGAGCGCAAAAAGTAGACACGGGGAGCGGTGCTTGACCAACGCCATGATTCCACCAAAGTAACCAACAACTGGTATTTTCAACTCCGCAAACCTTCCATTTTATACATCTTGCTCTGCATTTCACGTAATCCAGAGTATACAATATGCACTCTCTGGATTCCGTGAAAATGCAGAGGGGGGAGGGGGGGATTGAGTCATCGCCATCAGACGACTGAAACCAATTTTTTAGGTATTTTTTGCTATTACCATTAGGGATTTCTCCTTGAATCTGCGCGAGAATATTTTAGTGACGCATACATTTTCCGCTCATTTTTTATGAAAAAGCGGAAAACGGAAAAAAACATGCGGAACCGAAGCAGATAAAGGTGTTCCAATCCGTTAAAATTTTCAAAAGATGGACTGAAACTGAAATATATGATTTTACTCTAACGCCTATCACAAGAATTTTATAGTTTGCCTCCTTTCACATTAACTTTGTCCTCTGAAATAAAGCAACAAATATAGTGTTGGAATCAACCGAGCATGAAATATGTACTTAATTCTGCTGAAGAAAAACATATCGTCAAAAAGGCATGAATCGTTTTTCCCTCCAGAGATTCTGCGTCATAATATCATCTGAGGCTTTTAAAATGTCACAGCAACTGTGTCCTCTAGAATAAAGTTGGAATCAACCAAGCAGAAATCATAGACTTAATGCTGCTGGAAAAAAATATGGTGAAAAAGACATGAATAATTTTTCCATCCAGGTGTTCTGCGTAATAATTTCAATAAAACTTCCAGGTCCAATGACATCGGTTCCAAGCCGCAATTTGCTTTAGCTCAGAAGAATTTATCATGTCATAAGGAATTTTGTTTTTCGTTTCTCTGACAGATGGAACAAAAGACCTGCTAACTTTTTGATCTCAAATGCGTCAATTAGTAGGTGTTCTGTGAATTCCAGAGTATACCGACACGGGGAGGTATTGTATCGCCGCGTCAATTCAATCATTTCAATAGGGACAGAAAAATGGGCCACCGTTGATTCATTGCGGAATTTTCCCCAGTCACGAAATCCCTTTACCCCCAGTTTTTAGTCAAGTTTTTAGTTAAAAGGTTTCAGTGGTTTCCTCGTAAAATGCCTCGGACCCCACACAATTTATAATGTGAAGAGATTAACATTGAAATTTGCAGTTTTTTTTACGTCCATCCTCTCTAAAAGGCCCGTTCCGTGGTACGGTGGGCTTTACTACGGAGATCTAAAATGGCAGAGCTTTTCAGTTCTACATTCATACTTCGAAGGCATCTCTCGGACACGAATGGTTGCTCTACAAAACGCGCTCAGCACATTGAGGTATCATTATTGAAGTACAAAGGATGTTCACATCCTCTGATTGTATGCAACTTACTATTCGTGCCTGGAGATAACTTTGTAGTATAAACAAAGAAGTGAAGGCGCTCTTCCATTTTGGATCCTCGCAGCGAAGCCCGCAGTTAGAGCCAAGGGTGAAGCGGTGAATACCTGGACAGTTAAAACGCCTACAACCCCGTGCATATGCAACACGGACATCTATGGAGCCCGAATAGTTGCATCCAGGAGTTAAATTGCAGTTTAAATTGTTAATTGGAGTGTAAAGCAAAATTGAATCAGTTCGAAAACACACCAACTCGGGTTTTCTTCGATTTTCACTTTTTTACGGTTTAGTAACACTTATGGATAGAAGCATCTGCACGCAAAAGTAAATTTCGAAATTGCAATCGGAAGTGCTCGAAACAGCGACGGGAAAAGGGAAGAATCGAAGTATTTCATTGGAAATACCAATTTTTGGTCATTTCAAGGGAAACGGGTGACCATCCGATTTTGCGGTTTTCTTTTTTCGGTTCAGTAGGTATACCTTGTACCAACAAGTTATATAAATATTCAAGTGTTATTCAGGTCGAAAAATATAAATTTTTCAGGGCAGACTATGAAAAATCAGTACACTGAAAAAAATGAGTTAGCGTCAGATGACTAAAAATGGTTTCTATACACTAACTCAAATTGTGTGATTTGGACACACATGATTTTTGGTTTCTGTACACTAACCACTATTAGTGCTGGAAACTAATTCCGCTACTCTAANTACTTGTCCTTTGGCACCAAAAAGGTTTTTCTTAAACTAACTTCTTCGCCCGCTGCGCAGTTTTAAGTGTTTCCTGAACAATTTTTTTCCGAGTTGGTGTGTTTTCGAACTCACTGATTCAATTGACCAGTGATCGTCGCACTCAACAAACAAAATTGCGTTCTGCTTGTTTCATTAACTTAATTCCAGTGTTACCTTTTGTGCCGATCAAGTAGACCATTCCTGATATCGATCGTGACATTGTCAAGTTTCCAAATAATGCTTTGATTGTTTAAATATTTAACAACGTAGCCGTCCTAGAATATGGGCTGCAGCCTCTACCTCTACCTTCTCTGATCTAAAGACGACAAATAAGACAAAGTCGTTTCATGGTCTCTTCAGGAAAAATTCGAGCGCGCATCTCAACATTTTTGTACTTTTTTCACTAAAGAGTCAGAAAAATGTCCAGTCATAAATATGTAAATCAGCCCTCGGTCAATTCAGAGCCCAGTGCAGCAAGCCCCGAAGCTTGTAAAAAATGTGTCTTGAATTACTGATTGCTTCAGGATCATCGAATCGGAACACCAGTGGGCTGAATTCATAAACCTATCAATATTGGTAAAAAATAATTATGAAGTATTTGTTGGAAACCGTCCTAAAGTTCTCGCTTAAAGTCGTAGGTAAGGCGTCGACAGAAAATCGAGTAAATCTTTCTTCATGAGTTTCTATTTATCAGTTTTTCTATCAGTATATTTGTGTTTTCGAACAACCCATAACCATATCTACTAAAACTGTGAACAGCCAACCCTGAGGAATCCCTCCCCTGATAATAGGATCAGTCAAAAATTAAAGTGGACTTCATGAGGCGTCAAAAATATCAAGAGTTTACCCGAGTAATTCTAATGATTTCGGTGTGAGAGCGGAACTGGGAGCTAGAAATGAACGACCGCGCAAAGCAACAAAAAGAAAACTGCAAAATGCGACATAAATGAAAATGGAACGTAAGAGGGAATGACAGAGAGTCTAATGATGTATTGGGGCTAGTTCTGGTTCAGCGGGTTCAGTTTATGTTTCCGTAAACAGCTAAAAATTATTCTTCCTTTTATACCATCTGTTTTTACATTGCTGTCGTAGGTTCTAATCTATTTCCGGTAACATAACATTCCAAGGTATTATCATTTTTTATCATTTCCTCTATGACGTACATTGTGAATCAATATATTTCAGATAGAACAGAGCTTTTATCCAAAAACTCTCTCAGAATTGGACCATTTCATGTACACTTTCCTCTTAAAAAGTCCGAAATCTAAAGGCTGATTCCGGAAGATACACAACCGAACTATTACTCCTTAACGAGACAAGGCTCAATTGCAACATATTTGGAGTAGTAGCGGAATGAACGTACAAATGCACCTTGACATCCACAAACCGCCCGGCCTTCATCTTTCAAGACGAGCGTTTAGCTGGGTAACGCGTTGTGCCTATTTTGCAATCTAAGGCGCTCGGAGTGATTTCCGAGCCACTGGAAGCTGCATGCAGGTGCCGCATTGCGATTCGATCGGCTGCAGATATTTGAAATTTTTTCACCGACAATTCATAGTCGAATTATCGGAACAAAAACTCTAAATCTTTTTCTCATTGATGCCATTTTTAGCGGTACAATCAGTGAATACAACCACGATAAATCGAGATAAAATTGTAAAAATCGAGGAAAAATCGCGATATTGTAAAATTTTAATGAAATCTTATAAAAATTTCATTGATAAAGCAAAATCGTTGTTCTATATCGCGAATTGGGATAAAGCGCTATAATGTATCGCTAATTGGGCTGAATCGCTTAAATTTGATGATCTTAGCAATTACTTTCATATGAAAGAGCAGTAGAACAACAACTGTACTTCAATAATTCGCAGTATTTTCATCAGAAAACGCTATTTGTGGATGAGGAATCCTGACAATCATCTAACGTGCAAACGCAATATCTCTAAATAGAGTTAAATAAATGTGACATGGACCCTAGGACCCATAAAAACGCATGCATTACAGGACCCCTGTCACAATAGAGACAGTTCCGTTTGAGTCAAAAGCGTTCTAATAAGGCCAACTTTTCTCTTATCGTCAGATTAACGTCAATAATAGTTTGATTAAAGAAACTTTTTGTTCGATAGGACACTTATAAACAATTCAGATAAAAAATTCGACACATCAAAAAGCACAGAGTCTCAACTGCGCATACACCAGAACCAAAATTTTATAAAAATTACGGCCCTCCGTACCTTAACATAATCGTGGCCTGGCTTTCTTTTTTTTCAAAGGCACGCAACAATGGGACCGAAAACGGGATTAAACTTTTAATGAAAGGACTTTTGTAGTGCGGGCAACGACACGGCAGCGCGTAGTGGAAGTAAGTCGACGGATCGCTTTGTTGGATGTCAGTTTTCCGACATGATTGCCTTCTTATCGCGGGACACTTACAACTTTTACCTGCGACACGGAAATTAGACGCTACTTCACATCCCCTGCTTGCCAACTATCCCTCCTACAGATTCTCGCATTGGACGCGTTCATGTTTGGGTGCAAACTGTCGCCTGAGGCGTTTTGTTTAAGCGTTATCGTATATTCAAAATTAAAAATTATACGAAAAAACTTACAGATCGTCCGACGTTCCAACAATTGTGATACTGTTCGCCTCGTTTACCCATTTTTCTAACTCGATGGTTGTCCGTGATTCGATGATATTTTTAGCTGTGACTAAAGGAAACATTTGACAAAAAAAAAAAGAACCATCACGTATGGATACTTAATTTCTAAAATCAAAATTGCTACCGAAAAGAGGCTTTTGCAGGTAAAATACGATTCTTCACAGAGCTGCTGCAGATCCCTGTTGTGTGTTTTATGGTTTACGGGATGTGATGTGAAACCTGTGAAAAAGGTTGAGTGAGGTCAAAATTGTGTGAGTGACAAGACTTGTGGTAAAAAGAAACACAAAAGCCTAGAAAAGCTTGACAATTTCTTCTAATTAAAAGCATTGTGTGCATCCAACCGTGCGAAGTCAGTAATTTTAAGTCTCATTCAACACTTGTATTAGACACACACTTGTAGTGCAACACATGCTATAAAAGCTGTCAAATCCTACACTGATTCACGAGTTTGCATAATGTCAAATATGTTGGTGGTGATTTTGGATAGGTATGGGGTATACACAAACACATTCTGTTTTTACTGGAACAAGACTGATATTTTGAAGTTGCGATTGCTACCGTAAATTATACATCGATAACTATTATACAGGAACAAAGCACAAAAACATAGCCCGAAAATATACGGATAAGGGGGGGATTTAATTAAAATATGGGTAAATAAGGCTAAAAAATTATTAAAACATTAAAACACAGGACGTTTCGAGCTGTTACCAGCTCATTTTCAGCTGCGAAAAACCTAAAAACAAGTAAAAAATTGAATTCGGTGCTGAATTCCAGTGGTTACGTGATAACGGCTGGGGTCAGGTCGCCACTCAATTTTTTACTTGTTTTTAGGTTTTTCGCAGCTGAAAATGAGCTGGTAACAGCTCGAAACGTCCTGTGTTTTAATGTTTTAATAATTTTTTAGCCTTATTTACCCATATTTTAATTAAATCTCCTCTTTATTCTATTATACAGGTTTACATTCTTATTTTTTGAAATTTCAAACATTGAAAATGTGGTTTTCTAGGTTCAATCTGGCATGCAGAGCAAATGGACTCTAAGTTTAAGGGAATGTTGGCTGTTGAAAAATTAGGAGTTTCTTCTCGACATAGGTAACAGTGTACACAAACCCGACCGCGTTGGGCGAGATGAAACAAAACAGATTGTTTAATCGTTACCCATTCATTTACAGAAGAGAAGTTTCAAACAAAGATCGACTTAACAAATAATATTTAAAGTCAGCATAAATTAAACCTCTTTATCGGAGTCCGACACCGATCACTCAAAAATGATTGAGTGAACGTAAAAATTGAAATATCAGAAAAGAGAATCTGAGCTGTTTTTTAAGAGTCGCTGTCGTAAACTCCTCAATAATTGCCTCCGAAAAACGACTTGCAGGGGTTGATCTATGGTACGTGTGTACTTAAAATCGCGGAAAATCAAAATCTTGACTGATCCTATTCTCGAGATTTCGCTATTGTAAATTCTCATAGTAAATGCAAGTTTTCTCCTGATATTGATCTGGTTTTCTTTTTCTTATTCGTCCATTAAATTGATGTCGATCGGTTCACGTCAATCGGTTCATGTCGATCGATTCAAGTCGATCGATTCACGTTTTGATTTTCCGTTAGATTTATGTCGATCGAATACGTACCCTCTCGTTGCATGGAGACTTTCTATCATACTATTTTTTTTAACTGAACAATTCGCCTTCAAATGCGTCTGTAGCAATTGTTGTTACGAATATGTTGTGCGTGCTGATTTCAGCCTATTACATACTTGACTCTCTGAAGGCGTTATAAGTGCGAAAGTGGCACCATCTGTTGGAGGACGATCGAAATAGGGATTGGGCAATTAAATCTCACTTATATACTTCTCCAACAGATTTCGCTATTTGCGCACATAAAACGCCTTCAGAAAGTCGAGTATGTAATGAGCTGAAATCAGCACGCACAACATATTCATAACAACAATTGCTACAGACGCATTTGAAGGCGAATTGTTCCGTTAAAAAAAAAATAGTATGATAGAAAGTCTTTATGTAACGAGAGAGTATGTATTCGATCGACATGAATCTAACGGAAAATAAAAACGTGGATCGATCGACTCGAACCGATTGTCACCGATTCAATGGACAAATAAATAAAAGAAAACCGGATCAAAATCAAAAGAAAACTTGCAGTTACTATGAAAATTTCCAATTCGACGGTGTAAGTCGGCAATCACAAAACTCGTTTGTGGTGTCTGAAAATCTCTGCCTCTATGTTATTTTTTTAAAGGAGAACAAATTGACATCATTCCTTGAAGATTTGCAAAATTTTACTCACACAGAGAAGAAAAATCACGGCAGTTTTAAAGAATTGCCGTTGAGTAGTTTTTCGTTTAAAAAATAAAGTTTGACAGGAAAGTCTGCGACGTCGCAGACCGAGTTATGTGATTGCCGACTTACACCGTCAAATTGCGATATCTCGAGGATAGGATCGGCCAAGATTTTGATTTTTCGCGATTTTAAGTCTACATGTAGCATAGATTCACTCCCTGCAACCCGTTTTCGGGTAAATCGTCGCATTTTTTTTTTGCTTCGAGACCACTGTCTATACAGAACAAGTATGTATGATATCCATTGGATTATAACAATCGTAAGATGGGCCAATACCTGCGATGGTACCATTACGAATACATCGAAACCTATCGAATATAATAGATTTCTTCAAAGACGTAAACCTCTGGGCTGTTCCAACTTGGAAGTAGACTGTTCTAACAGTCTACTTCCAAGTTGACCAGAGCTGTTTCTGATTGAATAATGCAGTTGTTAAGAATATCGTGGTGGGGGATGAGAAAGCCGAGTGACTGGCTTAGCGAAAACACGATAAATAAGCAAAATAAGCTAGGCAGAAGAGCGAATAGAGTCTTCATCCTCATTCAATCGGTCTGGAGCACGTAATTTGGCGGGTCAATTCGCAATCATGACTGAGAACGTTATAAACAGACAGCACCGATCAATGTTGCAAAACTTCGCGTTATAAGGGATCACTATATAGGCAGGCAGGGCCGAATTAAGGGGGTGGCCACGCGGGCCGCGGCCCATGGCGGCAAAATTTAGGGGGCGGCAAATTTTGCAATCTTTTTGAATGTAGGTATCAAAAAATGAGAGAAAACAATCGGATTCAGAAAATAAATTACAAACGAGAAAAGGCGACAAAATCTCTCATTTCCTACGAGAAAAAGTGCAGTAATTTCTAATTTTGTCGTCTTTCGGTGATACAAGAGACAACATTTTTAATTAGTCGAGTTAAGAGAGAAACTAAACACGCAATTTAACCTGGAACGGAGAGACGCGGCGGTCGGCATGAAACACATAGCGCCTACAAGGCTGCATGAATACTTCACGCATTGCGTCAAACACACTGCGGTCAGCAGCAGTCGGCTTGAAACGCATAGTGTCTACAAGACTACATGAATACTTCACGCATTGCGCCAAACAGTGTGGGTAGCAGCGGTCGGCGTGAAACGCATAGCGCCTACAAGACTGCATAAATACTTCACGCATTGCGCCAACACAGTGCGGTCGGCAGCAGTCGGCTTGAAACGCACAGTGTCTACAAGACTACATGAATACTTCACGCATTGCGCCAAACAGTGTGGTCAGCAGCGGTCGGCGTGAAACGCATAGCGCCTACAAGACTGCATAAATACTTAACGCATTGCGCCAACACAGTGCGGTCGGCGCGGCGGTGGAAGTTACAATTTTTAACCACATTTATGTCTGTTCTTTCATAAGTTTTTAGTTCTTTTTTATAAATAGAAGGCCTTGTCCAAACAGGGATGTGTTAACAGAACTGACCTTTTGTTAGTGTTGACAGGGCTTTTACAAAAAATGTACCCAACACAAGTAACCGCGTCTTATACACCCCTCCCCACCGGCACGTTCACTTGATGGTTTTTATAGATCGTATTCGACAGGTCACACAGGTGAGATTATATTGATATCGATTAGTTCAATATGTAATCAAAGCCTTAAAAGCCAATTTAGAAATCTGAGGTAACGGGTCTTATGTGCACGAATTTTTATTCTCTCGAGTACCAAATGGCAGTGAAAAGTGAAATTGTTAGGAATTTTCTCATTTTCAGCTTCTCCAAATTAAACCCTAAAATTTTTGTTTGAGGTTATGTTCTATCGTTTTGAACCAAACGATACATCGAATCACCGTCGAATATGATCTACTGATGTTTCAAAACAAATGAGAAGGGGGCGGAAAAATACAGGCGGCCCATGGGCGGAGGTAAATCCGGCCCTGTAGGCAGGATAGCGTTTAAAACATTATCGACTCACACTAAGTCAGAAAACCGTTTTCTTGTCGTAGTATTTCGATGCGCTGAGAAAAATTATTGTCGTTTTTCAGCGGCTATGTGCGGATTAAGTATGCCAAAAAAGATTTTAGTTGTGACGACCGCACTACCTATCGCGAAGGTTCTTTTTTCTGTTTGTGGTAAAATTAATTCATTTCATGGGGGTTTTTTTGCGAGAAAGATTTTCAATTAAATACCTATCAGTTAATTATTTTGGGGATTATTCATTATTCAAAATCGGGGATTTTGAAAAAAACCTTTTACAGTAAAAATAAACTCTGAGACAAAAATTAAATGTTCAGCGCAGCCTGAATATTTGAACTTACGTTTAATTTACACATTAATTGAAATTTAATCAAGCTCAAGACTGAATATAATTTTTAGCTTCAAAATCATTTTTGTGAAATAAAATAAAACGAAGACAGGACCCACACACCTGAAATGCTGGAATGCCAATTGAAGAGTTATTCATACATCACTTTTACTAAAAGGTACATCGTGGTGGTTAAGATTTAACCCCTCACCGTGTAGGTCATACCAAATGGACGTATTTTAAACCAAGGAGGAACTATATCCATCATGAAATGAGCCCTGTCGCGCATTTACACGTATAGATCTCAGAGCTCGTGTGAAAATGGATATACTTCCTTATGATTTAAATGCGTCCCAATAAGCTCTATCAACCCAAATGTGGACGTAAACTTTGAGACATGGCAATGCATCACTACCGTAGATTTTCACTTAAGCCATTTTTAGTCTCTGTTTGCACTCAACGCGTGGTTGTAGCGTCTAGTCCGCCTTATTTTGGCTTAGTGTTTGAGTCTGAGAACAGTTGTTGCACATTCAAGCTCGAAAGTTCGAATATAAGCTTCCATTCTCCCGCGATGCTTGTATGAACTCGTTAAAACTTGGGCGGTAAATTTCTGAGGTACGAGCTGAGTCTTTTGGCATGAACGCTCATAAAGTAACCTAGAATGGTGTAATATGCGCGGACAATTTTGATAAAGTCTTATTAAGTAACAAAATTACTCCTCCGCGCGCCGCTGCCTTTGTAGCAAGATCGCAAAGTACCCCACCTTTGTAAAACTTCAATCCCATCAGAAAAGAGAGATTGGTGGCTCCGAGATCCCCATATCAATAACATTTGGATAAAGC